CACACACACACACACACACACACACACACACACGCACACACATGCACACACACTTCTTTTGAGTGCTTGTAACCTTCATGCTATTACAAACAGTAAATGCATATTTTATGTTTAGTTACAGCAGTTCATAAGTAGAATAACAAGACAGAACTCGATGCCAACCGTCACTGACATCCCTCAGTGTCATTCAGTAGTGACCAASTGTTAGCAGTTTTGTTAGAATCATCACAGGCCTTCATTATTCAAATCATCTCATAAGGTGAACAACTGGATCGACTGATGGACGGGTGCTAAAGTGATTTTGTGAAACTCCTCACAAACACGTTGAGCAGGTCTCCCTTATGATGCACACAAGATTTAGTTCAGATTGGATCACGTGTGTGTGATTTAGAGCCAACCGTACGTCAATGATGTGATGTATAGTTAGGCCACGCCCTCCCCCCCAAAAAATAAATAAATAAATGGACTGCATTTCTGATGTGGGGTGGATTAGGATCGACCATTACGAATTCTGTGCAAATTGGCTGAAGAATGTGAAATTTAGAGTCAAACTGAGTGTATATGAGCAGCATGTCACTGAGTGGTCRTGACATTAAGGTCTAAAACTGTTTTTAATTTGATCAGCATCCTCTCAGACRCCTCTGTCAGTGGGTCTAGATCCACACCAACAGCCTTGCTGATCCTGTCAATCAGTTTGTTGAGCCTGTTGGTGTCAACGCACAGGAGAGGCACCGCCACAAACGAACTGAAAATCCTGAACGAGCACAGCTGTGTCTGAAAACACAGATGACTTTGACCCTTCTTGTAGTGTTTTTAGCCCAGTCCAGTTTTATAAAAAGMATTAGTTCAGATGCAGAAAGACAAAGCATGTGTGAAACAACATAAGCAAGTGGCTGGACGTCCCTACAGGAACATCTGTGGGTGTGGAAGTGTTACAAGGCTAAAGCACTCTTGTGTAAATGAGACTAACCTGTAYAAATAAAGAAAATGAAACACCGCAGCACTTCCAGATTCAGACTGACAAACAGCTCATGGCTGCTCAAAGCGTCAGTGTTGCCAGTGGTCATTGGAACATTCTGTGACCCCCAAACTGGACGAGTGGCTTCAACAGATCCAAGAAGCAAACCTCTTGTTCAGAAGTGCACAGTCCTAGGAACAGCTCAGACACTGTGCAGAATCCTCAGGCTGCCCAGACCTCTGCTACAGGACTCAAGCTTGAAGGTAAAAGCTACAAAACACAAACTCAGAGTTTTTCTAAATGCCTTTCTGTTGTGACTTGGTCTAGCTGGTGCATATGCTGGATACCAAGCTCAAATCCAGAAGTAAGAGAGCCGTGTGTTCAACTCTACCATCATCACTCTGACAGATGATGAATATCTTTCTGTTCAAAAGATGAACGCTTCTTTCTCTTCGTCTCTTAAAGCCATGTGCAGGTTGACACGGAAGGAGCAGATTTACTTTTTCCAGTTTGGTGACTGAGTAAACAAAGACCCAACACTGATTCCAACTGCAATCTCTTAAAATAAATACATGTGCATTAGAGCAAACTACCTGTTTGGTATTTGAGCTGGTAGCCAATAATTATGCCGTTTGGCTCTAAAGGTTTGTCCCATTCCAGATAAATGGTGTCCATACTTCTGCGGTTAATCCGGAAAAACCTTGGAGCATCTGGAACTGCAAACATACACCCACACACAAAAATGTAAATATTCAAAAGGTTTCACAACAAGTATATAAGGAAAAATACTAGTTTGATTTGGTCAAATATGGAAATATCGAAGAAAGAAAGAAATTAATTGTGCAAAAGCTTAGTATGAGCTTTATACCTTCTAAAAAGACAGCCTAGTCATTTTAAAAGAGATTTTCCACAGTGTGTAGGATTTGTTGTTTTCAGCGACATCTAGTGGTTGAGTGGTTGAATCATCCTCCCTGGTCCTCCCCCCACCCC